CCGGGACTCGCTTAACGTGTCGACTGATCTGTGCTTCGCAGTTTATTTTGACAAAACCGATTTTATTCAGGGAAAACTTTTTATTTCTTCTTCTAATGTTTGAAATTGGGAGATTCTAGTCCTTCTGCAAATGTAAAAGTTTGGTATTACATTTTTTGGCGCATACAGAGCCTTCTTTTTGGCAATTTAATTTCTTCAATTGAAGGACTTTCTTCCACTGACCTTGCAAATCCCGTAGACGAGCAGAGACGCGACGATGACCGCGGCGAGCGACGAGAACATCAAGCTCGCGACGCGTCCGTTCGGCACGGCTGCAGGAGGATTAGGACCGGGATTAGGACCGGGATTAGGACCGGGATCGAGATCGGGTCCCGAAGAGACGATCGGCCCGGGATCCTCATCGAGTCCCCGCTGAGAAAGATTCCCGACCGAGGACCTGCTTCCGTTCGAGCAGCCGGCGGCGACGGAGTTCTCCTTCAACTCCGGGGATTCGTGCGGGATTAAGAATACCAGGCTCAAAATGAAGAAGCAGCAGGAAGAAACCTGGAATGACAATTGCATCGCGTGAGAAGAATAGAATGGCAATTGCATCGCGTGAGAAGAATAGAATGGCAATTGCATCACGTGATGAGAATAGAATGGCAATTGCATCGCTTGAGGAGAATAGAATGGCAATTGCATCGCGTGAGGAGAATAGAATGGCAATTGCATCGCGTGAGGAGAATAAAATGGCAATTGCATCGCGTGAGGAACCTCGAATGACATTTGGGCCATCCCACGCCAGTTCGACCAGAGACCAGAGATTTGAACAAAAATCGGTATACACGTAGAGGAATCGATTTAGATAAACTCTTTTCAACCAATCTTTATCTCTCGCACATATCTCCAGATATATGAATGTGAATGTGACCTATTTTTGGCCCCTGGCGCTCATTCGGGACAGGAATTGTGAAAAAGTTTCCGCAATAACATCTCTCCAGGCTCAGATTCCAGCTTAATTCTCGTGTCAAATTATTTGTGAAATCGCAGTCTTTAATTTGATTCCATGCACTTCTCTCCAAACCTAAAATGAGACGTTCCACTTAATCAAAGAGTTTGATCAAGTCCTGTGTGTGGACAATGTCTACGCTTGGCAATCTCCGGAATTCGTGGTTCCAACGCATCATTCAAACCTGCGTGTTGTTTTTTCTTTTTCGCGACACCAAATTCAGGATTGTTCGTGAGATATGGCCAGTTGACGGATGGCGCTCAGAATGCGGGGCACGGGGGATTCGTGGGGATGTAACCCTATGGTGTGACGTCCTTTGAATAATATATTCCCGGAAATTTCAATTTCTCACCATTTATCATTTTCCTTGTAAGTAAAATGGCATAATATAGCAATAAAATTCACTGAAATGCTTTGAAATGCTATGCTTTTTATGTAAATAACAAAATTTTTACTTAAATAAATTATTAAATTAATTTTTTACTGTTCCAATATGCGTTTTTTCCCGCCAATTTGTACCCTAGAAATATAATGAACCACGCTAAAAATTAAAAATAAGTAAAATTTCACCCATGGAGCGGCATAACATCTGATGAAATTCTCATGATTCACAGTTGCAGCCATATATGCCGTGTTGTTGCCGTCAAATGATTATATCCCATGAAGCAATTGGGTGCCAAACTTAAGTTTGGTAATGCTAAAAAAGGGCATAACAGGTAAATTCCAATGAAGTATTATGACTTGGGATTATTGGAGAGGCAAGGTGCGGATGTCGGTCGCTGAGATCGGTCAAACTGTTTGAGCAAGTGGAATTTGGGCACTCCTGCTGCAGTCATATATTTATATCTCATGAGGCGAATCTCGAATTTGGGGTCATTAAAATTGCCATACCATGCACTTTTTAATGATTTATTGTGTGCGAGAGATAAAAAATTTGTTGAAATAAGTTTCTATAAATCGATTCTTCTTCGTGTATACCGATTTCCGTCAAAATCGGAAATTGTCGAGTTCAAGATCTGGTCGAATTAGCGAGGAATGGCCCATTTGCATCATGTGAGAAACTTGAAATGGCAGTTGCATCCTGTGAGTAACCTGGAATCCCTATTGCATCCAGTGAGTAACCTTAAATTGCAAGTGCATCGTGTGAATAAATCCTTTGCAGGTTAGATCCCTGCTCCAAAACCCGGTTGAAAGCAGCTGTAATTTCTTGCTGGACCCAACTGGAAATTCATACCCTGTCCAACTAGGTAACAACTAGAAGGTAACGTCATTTCCAGATGGCTTCCTTATAGCAATTTCACAAGTGGAATGAGGTTAATTTGGCTGACTTTTCTTATCGGAGATCCATCTACAAGAGCAGAAGAATTTCAGCAGTAAATTCAGCAGTAAATTCAGCAGTAAATTCAGCAGTAAATTCAGCAGTAAATTCAGCAGTAAATTCAGCAGTAAATTCAGCAGTAAATTCAGCAGTAAATTCAGCAGTAAATTCAACAGTAAATTCAGCAGTAAATTCAGCAGTAAATTCAGCAGTAAATTCAGCAGTAAAGTCAGCAGTAAATTCAACTGTAAATTCAGCTGTAAATTCAGCAGTAAAGTCAGCAGTAAAGTCAGCAGTAAATTCAGCAGTAAATTCAGCAGTAAATTCAGCAGTAAATTCAGCAGTAAATTCAACTGTAAATTCAACTGTAAATTCAGCTGTAAATTCAGCTGGATGGTCCTCATTCGATTTATAACAGAAAATTTCATCTGGAAACAGCCATTAAAGCCAACTGAAAAAGACCATTACAACCAGCTGCATTCCAGTTAAGAAATTCCTGTTATGATTTCTGATTAGTATCACCACCGATTCCCAGAGTTTGGGCAAATCTTATTCACGTCGACCGATTCGACTTTCAGGATTTGTCAAATCCTGAAATCGCAGTCGGCAAAACCTGTCATGAACGAAATGGCAATTCTTTCCTTACCGCTTGCAGGATGCCGATGACAACGCTGCCCTGTCGGTTGCTCATGCAGCCGAAGCAACATGCTTTCACCATCGGAATCTTCATTTTCGGTATTTACTCGGTATTTGTCTTCGAAATCTGATGGAAAATCATGGGAACTTACGCTTTGGTTGGCATGCAAAGCAGTGCAAAAACCGCATCAAGTTTTATTTAGTGCAATATTGAAGATTTCTTTTCCTTGTTGACGCTCAGAGAAAATGAACCAAATTATTTAGGTTAAATTATATGTTGTACACTAAATTATACTTGTTTAAGCATCCAATCAGGTGATTCGCAATGAACTGGAAGCAGCGAATAACGGCATATGGTCTTTCGTATTGCTCGCTATGTACTCTCCATCAAAGTGTCCTATTGCCCTCTGCATATATTATTGCTTCAAAACTGGCACTTTGAATTAAATTGAATTAAATGTAAATTCATTTTCTGGCACGGTATGAGAAGGTGGCCTGCGATATTTGACAGTTTCACATTGCAAATCGTAATAGTATGGATTCCCGAAATATTTATTAATTTCTACATGAATGTTCTACAAAGGAACAATCTTCCTCGTCCTTTCCTCGTTGGTGCTTGCACCGAATCGAGTTCGCACCTTTAAACAAAATTTTAATGGACGATTCCCGATACGAAATGAAATCGAGGAACCAGCCGGTTCTCAACCGCAGAGCGCCGTTATTTATTCGATCTTGCTCTCGCTGCAAGGACATGTCATCGTTACGCGAAATTATTTTGCCATGAAACGCTCCAAAAAGTATCACGATGAAAGTGTTCCTTTGTGGAATTCTTCTGGAATTTCCCTGCCCTCGACAGCCGGTCGCAAAAGTAAGTCGGTGCAGTTCGTTTTTGGGATTTCTGAATTCCTCTTGTGCACGACCCCATGCTCTACTATGCGCTGGCGTGAAGACGACTCACTCACGATGAAAAAAAGGCAAATCACGAAGATATTCACAACATTTTTCACAAAGAATAGGGAAGAAGAACTGGGAAGAGTCGGTTCCCAGCGACACAGTCCCAAACTGCTGATTCCACTCGGCACGGTTACGGAGAAGGGGGGAGGGATAGAGGGAGAGAGAGAGAGAGAGAGAAACTGAGAGAGGGAGAGAGAGAGAAACCGAGAGAGGGAGAGATTCTGCCGATATGGATGCGCAGGTCGCATCAACTGTCGTCATGGAAACGACAACATCATTTCCACCTTTCCAATCAGACCAGGTGAATGCACAACTGGAAGAAACTGGTCGTTCGCGAAAGTGTATTTTAAGGCAGGTGGATTCTGAAACAGGAGGACATCCATCCAACAGGTGGGTTCACGCCTAAAGAAACATCCATCCGATTCCGAAACCACCGTTTTTGTGAGGGGTCCTAATATTCGGATGATGATGAGTCGGAAATAAAGAATTTATTGGAGGCATGTCATGTCAGCATATAATGCCGATCCCATGCAAACCTATTCACGAAGAAACTGGATGGAACTCGCAGCACTCATGTCAGGAGGGCATGTTTCAAGGGGGGGGGGGGACGATCCTGGAAATTGCTCAATGTTGCATGGGTCAATTTAATCACCAGTCAATTGAACTGTTTTCTTGCATTTGATGAGGCGAACTCACATGATTTCCACGCTCTATTGGATAAATAATTTTTTTTTATTCCAGCAGAAAATTTTCTCAAAAGTATTCATTCAGGCAGTATAGTTCCCACAGACTCTTACGAGAAAGAGTGAGGTGCAAGCATTATATTTCTCGAAGAAGAAATTTATCAACAATAAAATTCTGGTAGGACAACAGAAAGCACCCTTGGGAGACTTCTATGAAATAAATTATGTTTTGGGTGCGTGTTACCAAGTAACTAAGTATGCAATTCCAAGTTCTTCTATGAAATGTTCTCCATGCTGACAGAAAGTTCTAATACAAGGATATCACCATGAGAATAGGTATTTTCATTTCCATAAATGATTTTTATTTAATAGTTGCACCTGGGAGAAGGCATACGAGAAAAAAAACCCAACAGCTGAATATTCAATATCTCTCCTTCTGAGCATAAGGATTTAAACCACCCGGCTGGAAATATCCTGGGTGGTTCTGGAAGCGCTGGCCTCCATCAGGGAAACGCTGGAAGCGCTGGCCTCCATCGGGGAAACGCTGGCCTCCATCGGGGAAACGCTGGCCTCCATCGGGGAAACGCTGGCCTCCATCGGGGAAACGCTGGAATCGCTGGCCTTCCTCCGGGAAATACTGGCTCGGGTTGCCTCCTCTGGGCAGGTTCTGGACCCCGAGGTATTGTCCAGGGAAGTTCTGGTATTGTTGTCCGGCAGGGAAACGTTGTAAATATTGGCCCTGTCTTTGGAAATTCTGGAAATACTGGCTTGCTCCGGGGAAATGCGAGGGACTTGGCCCTAATCCGTAGAAGGGCTGCATGGATTGACCTTGAGACTCTCCCTCAACTCCGAGCTCCTGAAATATATTGGAAAAAAAATATTCGTCATTCTGTTTCTCTCTTGCAATATCATGGATCGATTAAATCTGGCGCGTTAAATAATTCTCAAAGCAGAAGTACCATCGTAATTCTCCAAAAAATCCGGTTCCAAACTAAGTATGTGTGTCCTCTACCAGAACACATTTTCTTGAGAGGGGTAGGAAATCCCTTCGCGAACTTTTCACGAGACACAAACACTGGATAGTAAGTGTGAGTCGCTTACCATCTGATGAGGATAATCTGCGACTTATCAGGATCAAATAATCCTAACATACCACTGCATGAAATTTAGCAAACTAACAATCAGAAACTACAGTGATACAGTCCCTTTCCGACTGGAATTTCACACCCTCGCAATCTATATGATGAACCTCATCCAGTAACTCCTAATTAGTTATTATTAATTAGGCGATCTTCCTCCCTTTCCCTATGCCTCGAGGCCATCCAGCTCCGCCTGTAAGGACAGAATCGTTCAGGCATTCCATGCAATGGGGAAAATTGAGGACAATTCAAGAAGGACGGGATGATTTGCGATCAGGAAGAACTTCTCAATCAATAAATCAATAGATTTGAAAGATTTTTCCTTCCCCCTTGTATCAATAATTCATCCAGCAAACGTTATGAAAAATATTTCCTTTAAAATGTAGAGTCCTGCACTCAACTGAAGAACCTCTGCCATTCCTTAGAGATTCAGGGACTCATAATTAAGTTTTTATGAAGTCGAAAGCTTTTGACTTCTTTAATTTTTTACTTGCTTATAGCTAAATGTTTAAATGATGAGGTATGCCAATGTGCATCTTCTGAGCTCACCTAATAGAATTCAAGTGCTAAAAACTGGAGACATAGTTTACCATGCAAATACCATATGTCCTGAAAACATGTTACATTTTGAACATTTCTATTTAAAAAAAAGCTGCTCCACAGGCATCACCCATTCGCAGCAAGGAGTTTGCGAACCTAGTACCTTGCCAGCTTGCTGATCGTTCAAATTCCAAATGTGTATCATGTTCTCCAGACATTTGGTACTCTACATTCTGAACTGTGAGGGGAACGTGGAGTGTCAATTAAAAATGCAACTTGTTAGAAAGTAGTCCAGAGAACTGGGTGGGTTAACAAGAATCGTGACTGCACAGCGGACTTGGTGACTATGATTTCAAAGTCTGTCGATGTTGCTCGTATTGACATATTTAGTGTGTCATTCATTTTAAATTGAGAATTTCTTCATGAAAGTAACTAGAACTGAAAGTTGAGACCACAAGCAAAGGATTAGGCTGCAATAATGAGGATTAGAGTGATATAGGTTAGGCCAAGAAATGGCCAGATATTACTGCTGGAAGAAAATTAAACTATTCAAGTAATAGCACTAGAGCGTACAAGCAAATAATATCAATAATAATAAAATCCTTTCATAACTAGTAATGACGGGTATGACGTTCTCTTCTAGCGACGCTGAAAATTCAGCGAAGTATGTTTGTGTGAGATCGTGATGCTGCTCATAAGTATTTAATTAAATTCTGCAAGTAATTTTGTCAAAATCTTTTCTTCTTCTAGCATTGGAAATTGGCTTGTTCCTGCAACCGAGAAGGGTGCAACAAATGCTTCAAACCTCTGGAACTCGATGCACCTCTGATAAGGAACTCAACTGACCTTGAAATAGAAATAGACGACATCAAAGAAGTGGACGGGGATGGCAAAGAAAGCGATGAAGCTGACGAACATGATAACGAGGAAGACGGCCTCGCCGATGACCTGCGTCGCCACGACGAACACCATGATGAAGAGCAGGAGCGCGAGGACGAGCTCCAGGAGGGCCATGCAGAGCCATGGGATCATGAGGACCCGCTTCCTCTGAAAAGCGTTTCCTTGGGAAGTGACAATTCTCCTGAGAGTTTTATTCTGCTTTTTACTTCGATGGGTGTCGTTTATGAAGACACTTATGAACGCATTTATGAATACGTTTATGAACCGATAAACACGTTGAAAGGCTCCAGACTTCCTCATATTCTCTAGAATCTCTTCGAATTTACTATTTAACTGAGAATTAATCTCATGAACTCTCTTCGATTCAGGTTTCTTATGGCAATATAAATAGAAAAATGTGCGGGAAACCCGTGCACGTAAAGTCTGTGCTCAGCAGAAAAATTGAAAGTGGGAGGAAGGAAACCTTGCGAATGCCATGGACGAGCAACGAATCAACGACGACCATCGCAAAGAAGTAGCACGTCAGGCCAATGAGCACTCTGGCGAACGCTGAAAGATGGAGAACGCCAATATCAGCGGAGCCATAGGAAAAAAAAAGTATGACACATTTTGCCTGTGGGGAAAGCTGCAATCATTTCCAAAAGGTGGATTTTCGACGTTAAAAGGGTCTGAGTTAGGCATAATATGACGCACAAAAATAACCGTTCAGTTCTCAGGCTGTGCAAACCATGATATTGAGTTCTTAATGCGGGAGTTTGTGGAGATTCTCGTAATGACGTGGAAAAAGGTGTTTTTAGGTGCACATCAATGAAAGACTTTTTTTTACTTTTTGAGAAAACACCTTGATCCTGGAAGCATGACGCAAGGAAATTGATGATACAATGTAAACAAATTAGTGATATTACATTTTTTCGTTTGATACAAAGATTTATTTAGTTGTGATGATAAATCGCTTTTCAGCGATACAGAAAGCGGAAACAGACACGATTGAGTGCAGAAATGAGCATTTATAATTTTTAGATGGAGAAAATGAGCAATGGGAAAGGGACTAATGAAACAATCACTCAGGTGCTTATTTGATTACTCACTTTTTTCGGACCCGTAATTCCATAGGGAGAACGTAATGGTATCCATTGCACTCACAGAAGCCAGGATGGAGATGAAACAGATGCAGTCGTTAATCTGTGACGGGGAAAATCGGGTATTAGACAGCGATTCGAGTTTTCTACGTGGAGACGGAAACGTCGGAAATGGGACATTCAGCCCCAATCCACCACCAAAACCATAAACCATAAACCATAAACCATGAACCATAAACCAAAACAACATTCCTTGCTATCGCATTTACGAATGTAAATGCGATAACAAGGAATGTTGTTTTGAGAATTAATTAGCACAGAGAATTAATATGACAATCGCTTTAGGCCTAATATATCCGGCACTTCGAATGAGATGCGAGAAAACCAATAATCGAATGAAATATTTCGTAATTACTGCCTTAATTACTGCAGTGAATTGATCCAAAGCTTCCCCCCTGACGATTCAACCGTCGGCGTTATTGTTCTTCTTCGTATTGCCTTGGTGTTTAGCAGCAAATTAAATAATATCAAGTTGAGATAACAATGTGATTTTTAAATCGACCTTGAAGAATCTAATTGAGCATTTAAGTGTTATATGCTGTATATAAGTATTATATGTCTGGCTTGGTGCTCCGCAGTTGCATTGTGGGCTATCGTTGATGTTCCATTCGTGGAAAATATGTCTGCCTCTTTCTTTGGATGCTCGTGAATCCGGGCTGATTGTGGGATCGCTGTTGACCGACTTCAGCGGCACGCTGGCGTTTGCCCAGTCCTTTTTCCGTTGTTCTTCTGTGGTCTTGTCGTGGGCGTGGAAAGTCGTGGATCCAGAACGGCTTTCTGGACTTGGACCTATTTGGTGGCGGGCACGTGATGTCACGGTCGATTGGAAGGCCGGCATATTTTTTTTTGTTTTACCTTCTTTTGATATTCGTGCACGCTTGTCATGTTTCGGCGGATTTGTGGCAGTGCCATGCTGGGTAGGAACGGAAGCCAAGGCAGCAGTGTACTCTGCAATGGGCCTGCTAATATGCTCCTCGACGATGGATGACATACGGGATAATAGCGTCCTTTCGAGGAGTTTGTATGTTGTGCAGAGGAGGGAGATCGACCTGAAGTTCTTTGGATCTTCGGTTGGCTTCCCGGGCTTTGGAATGGCGATAACTTTCGCTTGTCGCCATGTCTTTCGTATTTTTCCTTAGGCGAGGAAGGCCGAGAAAAATTTGGCGAGCCCCAACGTCTATTTCTGCCAAAGTTTTTCAGGATTTGGGATCGATCCCGTTTAGTCCTGCGGCCTTGCCAGATCTTTTGCCATTTAGTGCCTCGGCGACAGCTAATTCGCATCTGGGCTGCGATGGCATTCGCTGACGCTTTAGGAGTTTTGTTCGCCGGCGGCAGTGCGGCGGCAGGCTTTGCGACTTGAACTCGTGAAGTCCATTGATTCCATCGCTTCCGTCCACCTTTGTCTTCTGGCAGCGTTCAGCGAGTTCAAGAGAGATGTGTCGCATTCGGCGTTTCCTGTATCCACGTATTACTGGAGATGGACCTCGCTCTTATCACTCCAGCACGGAGTGTAGGCATCCCTGAAGCCACGGTGACCCGTGGGCACGCTGCCTTCTTAACGAGGGTGGTGAAGCGCTCCTAGTTTTCCGGAGTTGGTGGTATCCGGGAGACTGTGCGCGCGATTGAGGCGGTGAAGGCTTGCGTCTGTCGGCTGCCTGCATTGAAAGGTTCCAAACCGGGTTCTTCTGGTTCTGTTCGGAGCAACTATAAGAACAATTCAAAATATTGCGCCTTTCACCAAGACACAGCTGGGCCTTGGAAGGAGACCCCATTGCTGGGTGTGGAGGCCATATTCTTACCATACAATTACCCGTCAGCTGAATTCGTTTTCTGTTGCAAGTAACATGCATACCTGCGAAAGACTTCCTTATCACTGCATGATATTAAAGACTCGCTTATTGCAACCCGAGAGCCAAAAGAAATACTTAAAAATGAATAAAGAAAATGAAAGAAAAAGAAAATTGAATCATACCAGCCGTAACAATGCAATGGTCATGCTGCCACTTCTAAGGCTCAAACACCCACAACAGCATGACTTCACCATTTTCCCAGATGATACCTATCTTGAAGATACACAAAAAGAAGAAATATGAGGTACATACACGCCCAGATCCTCGCGGCTATACACGTGCATGCGGGCGTTAATGCGTCTATAAATGTGCAGGTAGGGTAATTTGGGGGAATATGGCCCAACAAAATTAAACCTGGTCATCACGGCCCATCAAAGTTGAATTTGACTTTTACATTGTTTCTAAAATATTTATTAATATCTCCTTCACTATGTCCCAGAAAACATCTGCAAAAAGAACCATGGGCATGGCGCCTTTGGATCTTTTTCGAGTTGGTCCCATATTACCACTGAAAAACCAACTCCAGGTTTTCCAGGAGCGTGTGAAATATGCTGGAATATGCTGAGCACCTTGAAACATAATGAAAGACTCTCAGCAGTTGAAAAAGAAACCCTAACTGCAATGAGGACAAACAAAGAACTCGACATCCTTACATGACTCGAGGAACCTTTGTGGAAAGCAGGATTGCAAGGCTTTCGATTTTGAGTAACATTGCACGTGATTGCAAGATTGTACCTAGAGACAGAGTGATCAAGCATAGATTAAGGCGAACATGCGCTACGAGTGTAAAATACGAGGTCTTACATTGCAGGAAAAAAGCTGCATAGTTTTTGTATGTATTGATAAATAGGGCCAAACAAATCAGACAAATTTCATTTCAGTATGAAGGATATACACTTGAATTCAAAATTTGTGCAAGGAAAATTTTTGGAGAATGTCAAGCGATGCGGATATCCAGGAGGAGGTGCATGAGTACATCCTCATGCAAGGCTTCCTCATGTACTGCATATTTCATCCAGATGTCCAGTATGTCCATCCATATATCCAGAGGAAGCGCATTGGATGATCTTTTGCATCCTGAGATCCCACACGAAAGGAAGCTGACACTATCAATAGGTCAGTGCGCTGTTAACATGAAATGAAGGATGTATCCATATTACCCCAATTCGAGTTGGCCATATTCCCCCATATTTGGATTGCATGACAGAATTGACAACACAGTCTGCAAACAGCAAGTGAAGTGGCTACCACTTTGCACAAGCATTCTGGAAAGATTATGAAAGAACTTTCAAGAAATGGTTTCTGTATACATGCTGCTACTAGGAAACGTACGCTTAAGTTGCTGAAGGCCTATATTAGTTTCAGGGTCACGAGTCAAAGAATCGCATGCATGTGACTTTCAAGACGTCCATGTATCCCGAATTCCATTTCAAGTGTCCGGCGTTTTCGAATAAGTTTTGCAGAGCACCTCACAGTCTTTCCTCAAGTGATTTAACATACAACTAACGGCCTATGGCCGCAATTTCGGCCTTCTACCCGTACAAATACGTTTTTGTCACAGCTCATGAACTAAGAATAGTCCTAGCCTGGTTCCCGCTGCCAAACATTGATATACAGTTCAGATGGAGCATATACGCGCGAAAGATATGCTGAGGGACAGCTTGTTACATCTACCACTATGAAAAAATTACAACCAAAATTAGTTCAACATGAATAAAATAAATAAAAATGGAAGGAACCATGAAATATCAAGAAACGGGACACACGTGGGAAAGAAGCGGAAAGTTCATATCATAATGTACAAAAATAGTCCCGACGAATGTACTTGACAAATAAAAGAAGTGCTTCTTTAAGGACCACATCGTCGGTAACGGTGCCAGCATCAGTTTACCCCTGCTTTGGTCCATCGATAACCTGAATATTCTACGAATACTCTGACTGAACTATCGAGCAGGCAACGTACAAATGCTATGCATGGATACTGGCATCGGAAGTAGTAATCAGACTTGATCAAAAATGTCTGTCCCTGAAATTTGTTCATAGTCATATCATAGGTAAGCTCGATAGGGAATTGACGTTGGCAAAGAGGGAACGGTATGGTGACTTGGGTTGACGTGTCCAGTGAAACTCTAGGCAGCAAGAAAACACAGTCATAACACCATAACATAATCATAACAACCATGCCGAAGTTTACCTTTATACGTTTCGAAATGAATTACTAGTCTGTGCCCAACAAAGCTTTCAACATGCATAGAGTTGCGATTATGTGAAACGGCTGGAATGACGTTGAACGTCCTAACCTACGCAAATGGAGTAGGATTAAAGGTTCGCCGTGTACAAGCGCTGCTCACCACGCAGCGTTAATAGCCTGATGTTGCTCTGCAATTAATGCACCTCTCATCATTGATATCTTCAATTTGCTCATTGGTTAGGGCAGAGCTACGCAGCCTCGCCACTTCTCTTACGCGGGCGCATCACATCACATGTTGTTAAGCTGTTAAGCACACTCCAACCATATTAGATACTGCAAAGACATAGGCTTGTAAGCAAAATCAGTCGCATGAAGGAATCACGAAATACTCCTTGCCTATAACATGGAAAGTAAAAGACTCGTAGGCCTATCCGCCACCAAGCCTATGATCCGGAAAAGGAAAGGCATGTAGGCTTAGGGGCTACTTAGCCTATGTCCTGTAAGGGGAAAAAGCTGGGTAGGCCAGAGGCTACACCTACCACGAATCTCATTAGCGTATTCTAATACAGTATTACAGTTCACAATGGAACACATATGCATCAAAGAGTTGCTGAGGCACAGCGTGCTACATCTGCCAACATTCGCAAATTATTACCAAAAATAATTAGACATGAGTAAAATAAATAATCCTGGAAGAAACAAAGATCAAGAAACGGGACACACGTGCGAACGAAGCAGAAAGTTTATATCGTAATGAAAAAAGTTGTCCCGATGAACGGATTTGACGAACAAAGAAATGCTTTTCAAAGACCACATTGTCAGTATCGGTGCCAGCATGAATTTTCGCCCTGATACGGTCCATCGATAACCAGAATCTTCAACGATTATTCAGAGCGAACTCGGAAGTATTGTACAAATGACATGCACGGATACTGGCTCTGTAAGTAATAATCCGAGTTGATCGTATGTTTTGCCCCTGAGACTTGGTTTTAGTCGTACTGTAGGTAAGCTCGATAAGGAATTGAAGTTGGCAAGGATGGAACGGTATGCTGACTTGGGTTGACATGTCCAGTGAAACTCTAGGCAGCAAGTGAACGCTGCCACGAAGCGCACCCGTGAACACCTCGATTACTATGGGTTTTCAAATAAAACGGGGACCCCTACCCTAGACTACTCTTAGACTATGAGTAACAGCCATTATCCCCTTTTCATTTGAACCAACCTAGTATTAAGACATTTGCTTTCAGGTTTCTCACGATCATATGCGTGTTCTTGCAAAGGTCGTTCTCAATCATAAGACTCCGTACAGCTCAAATTTTTAGGTTTAAGGTGTGCGGAAAGAGACCCAGCGTATTGAGATTGTCGAAGAATTGAACCAGAAAGGTGGCCTGCCGATCAACGTCATCACCACCATGACCGTTCCTCATTCCGCGCAGTCACTCATGGAAAAGGAACACTGAAGAACCAAAGTCGACCAAAGGTAAAAATTTCTACTACATGGGTCTCCAAAGGCATCGCTGTCATTTCGATCTTCCGTAACGGTTGTGAAACTTCTACTGGAATGAAAAATCGTCAAATCGCTTTAAGCAAATGAGAAGTTTTGTGACAAGGATTATCCGAGCTCATTCATGCTTATTTCATGTTCCATGTTTGCGACTTTCAGTGAGTAGACATGTAAGAGAACCAATATAACCTTGATTCGCATAGAGGTGACTCTCACAACTATTGAATACATCTGAACGTTTTACACACGTCGCACGATTTTTACAAGCATGTTAATAATGACTCAATAATTCCATTTAAGTAATATATGAAAGTAAATTCAGTCCCCTCAAGGAAATTTTATTTAGGGACGAGATATGGGTGACATCGAACCATGCCCAAAAAGGAAATATACTATTATGTATTGTGCGCTCTGCTTCGGGATCTGTGAAGGAAACTCAGAATTATTCGTTGATTCCATTGACCAAAAAATTGCCACGAGAAGATGGGTATGCCAACATTGAAAACATGGCTTATGAAACTACCTAACGTTCCAAACGTTATTGTGGCTGATGGACGATGCATCACACCATCCCGTTTTGGAGGATAAGCTTTCCACTTCAAGTTACAGAAAGGACGAAGTAATATCATGGATAAGAGATAAGAAGACTTCGAATGAGATTTCCTTATCTGTCTGTACTCTCTTGTATGCATATACAGGTCGATGGATTTCCTCGAAAATTCAGGTTTCATGAACTCATGCCGGCCTACGGCTCCGGATTGCTGAAAAACATGCTTACGTCATGTATCTCTGCTCAATCAGTTCTGAAATGTACACAAAAGGAACCGCTGTGGTTACCCTACATATTCTTGTCAAGTCAAGCGACTATAAAAAGGCCATTTATGGAAGAACTCGCTTCACGGTCTACACTGGAGTGCCTCTGATTACCGGGAATCGGATTTTTCCTTGCAAAATGGTTTCAGTATTTACAGTTCGAAGAGAGTTATTAGCAATTAGAACTTGAGAGCAATGGAAGTTGTCATTTGAAAATGTCCACTTTAATCATCACGGTCATGCCCAGGTAATGGCAATTTCCGTTTCTGTTATGTATCATGAATCTCTTAATCCTCGACTGTCATTCATCTCAAGTGATAAACTAAAACATATAAGCTTAGTGTCTCTTATTCCACAACCAGATAACATAGCGAGTATGAAGTACGCACTCGTGAAACTTGGCGTGTTTCCGCAGGAATGCAGGATGTACAACAAATCTATGTAAAAAGTCACATGTAGCGAAAAAGTTGGTGTCTGCTTTTCCTCTTTTGCCATCAGTTCCTTCCTCATCTCAATTTCTCAAAGTAGGGGTATTTGCAATTTCTAATTGCTTAAGGCTTCGGAGGGATTTAATTAGATGAGAGTTCCTGGAAAGACTCGCATATAGACTTAACCAATGGTCTCATTAGCAATAGGTGACATAACAACGTGAACATGGCCTTAAATAGCCAGTTATTTAAGAAAGATCCTTTTCATCAGTCCCTGAAAATGTCTTCTTAGAGAAACGACACTACTTCCAGCATCTCTCACACCAAGCTAGCCACATGTGTGACAGTCCATGGATTCTGCCTTTTTGCAGTGTGCACCGTGAATTTGGATGGAAAGACTCAGCTTCAAGGAATAGAGTGAAAAGGCCATTCGAAAGACGATTGAAAATTGCACAACATTTTTGTATCATGGTCTTCTTCAGAGATTTAAAAAATGGAGAACTTGTCGATACTCATACTTTCCTCTTAGCGCGTGTAGGGAAATCCACCACCGTTCAAGTCCGATTGAAAATCCTCATCAGACCGTTGACGAACCAATATCTTCTCAGATATGCAACCGGAATAAAGCGAAATTTTTCCTAACTCCCACTCATTCAGATTCAATCGAAGTATGGTAAATATGAAATATCAAGGTAACCTTGATGTTCGAGTGAAACCAGAATGTATAAAGAGTACATGAAGACATCTTCTTTGGCATTGCTCTTACTCGCTCAACGAAGGAATTGGCAGGGTGCTTCAAGAGTAACTGTGAAGTGAAATGGAATAGATAATACATGCTGCTGATTGTATTTTATTTTCCGATAACACGTGAAGAATGGTCCTTCTCATTTTGAAGTCTTATGTTACATTAATGGACTTCCTGGTATTTATGTCATATTAGATCACCAACAACAAATACGTTCCTTCAAATGACTTCTCTTTCTGCAAACGGCCGGAGATGTCTGTCCTTCAAAGTTACTTTTGAAACACTGCAAGAATTTCACAGGACAATTCAGACTTGGCCTCCCTTACTTTCGCTTCCGAGAGCAAGGAAGAAAGACACACATGGAGTATTCTAAGAGGCATTTAAACGCGAGAATAAACGCCTATGAAACTCTCGGCATCTCGAATTTTAATACCGCCGTTACTTTGAATCCTAATCGAAAGGCATTGCAACTAATATGAAATGTCCATTCTCCTTCGTACCTTCCAAACTCCACACCCCGAGTAATTGCTGAACACCAACACGCAAGAGTGGAATAGCCCACTAGAATGCACACCCAGTGACACCACTTTCACCTCCAATGAGCTGTGAGACCGTCAAATGAGGTGAGAGCTGGTATCTAATCTAAAGAGGATATTTTCTATCATGAAAGGTTCTTCTTAGTTCTCTTTTTCCTCAGTTTTTCTTACCACTCCCCCCTCCCTCACTCTCACAAGTGTACCATATCATAATCAATAGATAACGCCAGGCTATTTTTTCTTTGGTTTGACAGGGATCGATTACTGGGGCGTTTAGACTCATAACATTTAAGATAAAAGTCCACGGAGTTGTCTATTTTGATTTCGATTTTGAAAACCATGCAGTGCAGTTCTAGTCAACAGCGATGACGATCACGATTTACCGGTAATGCTCTAATTATGACTGTTATTACGATTTAGTGAAACCTTAAGCAGTTGCAATTATTATTATAGCAATACAAATTTCAATCGCACCATGTTTAGGATCAGACAGCATTGTGGTAAAGAAAAATGAAGGCTTCTATAATTGCAAGAAATAAAAACGAAAATTACCAGTAAAATCTTGTAACAGTTCACTATTCCAAAACATGTAACATGCACTACCAAACCAAATATACCGCGCCGTCGGATAGGTTTCGAACTCACCTATACCATTACTAATTCATGGCAAATTGTACTTCAAGAAGATTAGTTGCTACATTTTGCAGCGTTCCCATAACACCAAAGGTGGATTGGCGTCAAAATGCATTTTTTTAAAACAATTAAATAAATATTAAGGCAAAACGTTGCATTATTGGTATTTCAACTTTTCTTGATGATGAAGTTGAAAAAATACAGCTTCTTTCCTTACTCCCATTGAATTTATCCATACCTTTTTAACCACGACGTTCCACGTATTTAGCGTTCTGCTATATAATCCCCTTGCTGGATGATATTTACTAAGATGCTTGCGGATTGGGAGAAAATATCAAAGTAGATTTTGGCAACTTTTCCTCTCGAAGTGAATAGTGCATTGGAGCCTTGGACCTGGGAGAATCGATGTCTTCGTCCATCAGAACTGCAAAGAACATTCTGCCAGCAAAAGTGGAGCAGCTGGTGTCATGCAATGGGACTGAGCATTAACCAAGCCAGCTTGCCTTAAAAAAGATTGCTCTAAATGTGCAACAAGATTCGGGATCCACATACGATTATTACGGGCCGTATGGGTGCTATCTAAATGCCGGAGATTCATCTGAGCGATTCTAGAGATAAAGGACTTGGAGGAGGATGTGTTTCTGGCGGGATTGATTCCAGGAAAGTTCCTAAAGTTTCTTTATCCGAGGAGGGATTACGAAATTTGGCTCATCATAAGGAGCTTTTTCAAAATATATATTGAATGGAGAACAAACTCGAAGGGGAAAGTTTCTGGGAAAATCAAGCAGCCACCGCTCCCCTCCAGAAAAAAATCTTCAAACTGGTTGCTGTTTTCCTAAAGGGGGTGCACCATATCATACAAATAACTTACGTTAACTAAAGCCTAATGGGAGCGATGGCGGCCCGTTTCGACATTCTACATAGAGGACCCTGGTGTGTTTGCTCGTGGGGGGGGGGGGGCGTTCGGGCATTAGACAATGCATTACTAATGTCAGGAAGTGATCCTCTCGGAAGAAGTCACCTGACGTAGCAAGGGAATTTGTTCTGGCATTTATTGATGTTCAGAAGATGTGAAAACTGATTATTCGCAATATTGTCTTTGAGGAAAGGCAAACAAAGAAGATAAGCTGCTATCCGCATGCTTCTCAGTGACGTCACGTGACAAAAAGCAACTAGTCGTCACGTTAAAATATTTCTCAAATCTGCGATAGTTAGCCTTTCATTTAAAATCACCGAGTGCTTCAGGATGCATTAATAGCCATCACACAGGCCTGAATAATCTCAAGACGCGAATCTTGCAAGATTGTTCGCCATATAAGTTTGCTTGTAAACAGATACGCTGTTATTACAGGTTTTTAAAGCTTAACTCTATTTTATTCTCAGCGCATCTCACGTTTCTATTAAATTTATTTCAACAAACAAGTCTGAAACTATGTTTAACCTTTCCCGAACGGAATTCCGTTGACTTCAGTAACACAAACAAATATAAAGAACCGCAACCCCTCATTTTCTGTGAAATATGGTATTCATGAAGAAGGTATCAATAGTGATGCATTTAAAGGGACGAAAATGGCTTAGTGATGGGTCTTCAATCAGCATCCTCTGAGACATGGATTTCGATTTCTTCGGATCTTTTGCTACTGCGTTGAGTGTGGGCCGGTCCATGCTGGGCCTGGCTCCCGAGCTCCTGAAATTTCAGAAATATTTCAGTGATATTCAGGGTGAATGGAATTCACATGGAACTAGGGAGTATTGCTTCTTGCATGAACATTCTACACTTTGCGAGCAATTTATGATTGGGAACCGGTTTGAAATGCATTTGCCCTAATAATGAGTTTCCGTGAACGTTCTACATTGGCGTTCACGGTATTGAATACCATGAACGTCAATCCCATGAAGCAAAATATTTATGAAAATATAGAACATCCTTCTCGTACGATTGAAGCACTTTCGCCCGTAATGTAGCAATTTCGTAATGAGGAGCGCGTTCTCGTGTTAAGAAATGACTCGATACAACCAATAAATTCGTAGATATGAAACCCGTTTCAATCCTAAAAAATTGCGGATTTCACATACCTTGAAGTAGGAGTAGACGACGAGGAAAATATGGACCCCGACGGAGTATATAACGATACAGAGTAGAAACACACAGACAAGCAACGAATTTTCCGTATTTTCAGAAATCATGGACAGGATAGTCACAATCGCCGACACACCTCCGACAAGCAGCACCACGAAGGCGAAGCCCAGCCAAGGAATCATCAGCTTTCGCTTGTTCTGAAACATTTTCATGAGACATTTCTGCTTCTTCCCCTGAAAGTGATCATTCTCACTCCCCACACGCACACAGGCTGCATGAAATCGGATTGCATGGCTTATGACATAGAATGGAGGGAAGATGCAGGTGTTAATGCCAGTGTTCCTACATGCTCAGTTGGCCCAGGCGCCCAACGGCAATACATTACAATGCAAGTCAAATTACTTTTCGGAACCGCGCATTAATTATTTCACAGTTAGCTATTTATACGAGGGTATATACCAGGGTTCAGAAAATAACGGAATTCCCCTTGGAGACGTTTCGCCCAAGCGCGTTTGGACTTGCCGCAGCCTCCGGTGATAGACTGCTCTTTAATACATGTGTAGACCTATTCGGGTGCCTGTAGCTTGCCTCAGTCTCGGGGGTTGTGAGCAGACGTCAAGTCTGGATCGTCATGGATTTAAAACTTGAACAGCGGACTGCAAATTTTGCGTGCGGCTGGGGAAAAAAGTCACAGACACTTGAAATGATTACAATATTCAATAAGTAGCCTTCCCTTTCACAGAAGGTTTTTTTTTAGTTGTATCAGACGTTCCAGAGCGGAATTGAAAGCATGGAGGATGAACCTCGCTCTGGTCGGCCGTCCAACTGATTGAAACAGGCTAAGTAGAGGGTGGTGTATGATCATTGTGTCCCAAAAGGACAACATGTGACCTGTGCCTACTATGCAGCTGTACTCAAGGACCCTCTGAAGCGGAAAATCAAGAAGAGACCGGAACACGCACGCACAGGATGGATCCTTAGGATCCTCAAAATTTAGCCCAACGCGCCAGCTCACCACTCCTAAGTTTCTCAAGAGGCTATCAATATTTTTTTGTTTGAAGTGATGAGCCACCAACCCTGTTCTCAGGACCTGACTCCATGGGACATTGTTCTGTTTCCTGAAGCCTAGAATGAGTTTCATGGTCGTCATTTTCGGTCTGATGCTGAACTGAACAACGCTGTGATGGTTGCGTTTAACCATATGTCAGGAAAGGCTTCAGAATGGGTGTTCCAGAAGTGGACTGAACGATGGGACCACTGCGTAGAGGTGGAGAGGGACTACTTTGAGGAGTAATGATATAAAGTTGATGGTATGGCTATCACTTTCTCTGCAATGAGGTCAGTCCCGTTATTTTCCGAACAACCCTCGTAAATTTCCTGGTTTCGTCTGTCTGGTTTCATGCTTAATGATCGTGGAAGCTGAAGGGATACAAAATGGAAAAAGGTATCGATCCTGTGTGATTAATGAACATGGAATGGAGAGAATGGGAATACAGATGTCTTCTATGGAGGCTGGCAAAATTCCACATTATTTGTCTATTGAAGGTAATTTCTTGGCATTTTCTTATGTGCTGCCCAAGGAAGTGCTGAAGGGATATTAAAATTAAGACGAATCTTGTGATTAATTTTCTAACCACTAAGGAATCGATCTCCCTACAGATCTTTTATAGAAGTATCAGTAACACTCTTTACTCTTAGCTGCAGGAATACCTGCTCCTTCAAGATCTCAGAGGTTAGAAATGTCATCACACCATTCAACTCAATTTTAAAACCCCTTCAACAGACCCCTTCGTTGCACATCGAAAAAATTAGGCTTAATAAATTTTGCCAGTCACCATCAAATACACAGGTACATATGTTTTCTCATGAGAAAACTAAAAAAGTGTATTGCACCTGTAAGTGTCTCAGGCTTATAACTCGTTCATCACTCCAGGCACATAATTTTCCCTTTCATTTTTTTAGATGATAGATGACCGTCTCCCTTGAGAAGACTCGAAGCCAATTGAATAATGTTTGTGTAGGATTCCATTCAATCCTCCATCCCGTGTTGAGACGTTATTCTGAAGAAACTATATCAACATAGCTTGACCCAGACCTTGCGAATTCCATGGATGAGAAGAGATGCAACTATGATGGTGGTGAGGGAGGACAGAGCGAACACCAATGCTCGCCTCTCTGCCGGCAGAAGCTTCACTGCAAAGAGATCCATTTTGGAGTTTTTTTGTGGCATGATTTTTCACGTATTTTGGAAAAATCTCATACTTACGAAAAGTGTTCATTTGTTCCACAAATGGTTCCTCGGTGAAGTATATCAAACGAATGGGGCCCTGCTGCGTTTCGCAAGGAATTCCTGCGGAAAATTGGAATTCTGAGTTTGCTCAAATTTACGGATGGGGAATGCGCAAAAATATGTTTGGGTCGGTGGGAACCTGTATATTTAATACATGAATTTGAAAAAAACCCCGCAAACGTCTTGCTATTACTCAAGAAATCACGGTCCATTAAGTTATTGAAAGAGCCCAACGCAGAGTTTCTTCATGACTTGGGTTTCCTGAATCCTCGAAAATGTCCAATCATAAATGACAACAGGAGGGCGTTTCATGGCTCTCGAATAGAGCACTCACTTTGATGCCAGTCATCCATGGAGAGAGGAGGCTCGTGAAGGGGATTCGGTATGGCTTCAAAAAGGAAATTGAGGCTCAGGAAGAAGAAGGAGCAATTTGAGACCTGGAGATTAAATAGTAATATTTGTTACATGTTCATATGGTTAAAATTGGTCTTCGACATGCAAGTGACCCATATTCTCACAGGTTCATGCTATGGACTCTTAGAACCCTTAAAAAAATAAGCATTTAATGTACACAAGATTTTCAACCTGAGAAAGGCGTCGAAGATGCATTTATTAAAAATTTATTCATACCACGATTTCCCATCCTCATCCCAAAACGTTTATTTACATCAATGGTGGTGTATGCGAACGGCAAAAGCCAATTTAATAAAGTTCAATTTCGCATGATCATAAGATAGTCATAGAGCGTCTTAACGACCTTCATGAATCGAATACGGAAAAGAAATGTCCTTTCACCTCGTTCGTTGTTCACGAGGCTGACAATTCATCCAGGAAATTTGTTTGCAGGATGAGGTCAATTCATACATAAATAGATGAACTTGATAGCTTTTCATTACACGCTGTGGCCACGAAAAATGCATTTACTTTTTCATTCGTTCAGGCTGCTTCATCGTTAAACCAGTACCAAGACCAATATAGTACAATCGTAATAAAAGGTAGTAGTAAGTAGCATTGATACACAGTTAACCGCACACGTTCAAACTGAGATGTACTTACATTCAAACATTCTTGAAACCTGTTTGGGACTGATGGACGTACATTACAACACATGTCAACTGTGATTCGCTGCTACGGAGTAGCGAATTTGTTTTCTCGCTTCTTCCATTATCCCTTTATACGGAATTTTGTTTCTCTTCCAGATTCAAAGCGATACTGGATTCACATCAATCATACGCTCGCAGGCGAAAAAAAAAATTTCCATCTATTGTCTTGACATTCAAAAAGTGCTAAAAAAAAGCAAACAAAACAGCGCGATCCGAAAACCGGTGAGAATCAACGTGACTACCACGTCCATACCAACTGAAAGACAGCAATGGCGATGCTGCCTTCTCGGTTGCTCAAGCACCCGAAGCAACATCCTTTCACCGTTGGCACCTCCATCTCTTTGCACTTCTTCATCGTCTATCGACAAGAGAATGGACAATTAAGGCGGTGGCAACTAGGCTACCACAGTTCGAATTTTTGCATTTGAGTACCTGAAATACACGTGCGAGGGCGTGAGAGGGCGAGCGTGAGTGTTCTGTCTTTCGGATTGTTTCGTGTTTATTATTGGGTAGGAGAACGTGTGTGCAAGTGTTCATCGCTAGAAACTTGTGAGTTTTGCTCCAATGGTTTTCTAGGATAGAAAACCACAGCAGCCATATCCTTGCGGCTTTGACAGACACGAATTAATTTTCCCTTCCTAGGGAAATCACTTTTTGCTATCTTTCCATTCTTTCGTCGTTGAACCCTCGTCTTTTCCCTGAAATCCGATTGGCACTCTCTGGTGATGCCGGAAAGTTGCATATTCACAGAGAGCTACTTTCACCATTGTCCCAAAGATAAACAGTTTACTGTGTTCGTAAAGAAGAAGAAGAGGGGGGCTCTACCAACTCCACAAGGCTTAGGTCAGATGAGACTTTCGTGGCATGGGTATGTATGCATACCATTCCACAAAAAACGCGAACTTGACTTAACTTCCAATGAAACTTGGAAAAGAAACAAGCATGGACCCGTTTTTTTTTCTCATCGGGGAGTCGACTCCCCCCCCCCCCATCAGCCCCTCATTTAAACTAGCGAATAGATGTTTGCTTGATCGGTGGGCTATGTCTAAATTGATTCGCATAACAGGCTCGAACTTCTTAGGGAAGACGTTTTCAAAGTCTTCCAGAGGATAGGACTATAGGACAGAGATGAGGGAATACGTCCCAAATCATCTGATTTCAACGCGTTACTCCGAATGGAAGGCTTTTCTTCTTTCGGTCAGTTTGACTATGCATGAGCCAGAAAATGCGTCGTTTATGTCCCATTCTCTGCGCCCTTTTTCACTTTCCGTCTAATGCAAAGTACACCCAAAAATGTTACATTGCAACGGTAAAACATGCTCCAAAAACGCACTTCAAGACTACACCTATAGGAAGTGTATTGAAATATTGATAAATCGCCCAATAACCCCAATGAAGACCCGCATGCAGCGGACTGCCCAGGTGGATTTAGAACCAGATGGATTTCCTGGCGAAAATCCACCTGCCACCTGCCAGACCTGGAGTGTCCAGGTGAGTATTTTGAAAAGGAATCAATACAGCGCTTAGCATTATTCAGAGGCATGATTCATACCGGTTGATAGCCCCACACTTCACTGAGCGAAACGCCTGTGAGTATACGAACAGCAGAAATGTTGAAAGCGAGTCACACTCACCCCTCGAAACCAAGAAAGCGCTGAACACATCACAAATCGAAATCGTTAAAGGAGATCGGCCGAGGAGCGAACGTGCCGGGGCCCTCACTCGATTCCCGGGATCGCTGGATGCAAACGGGGGTGCTGGACCCCTGCCAAGGAAACCAAAAGGGAGGCATAAGGCAGCGTTTCCTTTCAAAAATAAACTGTGTTTGGAACTTGGAATATCCATGGGCTTCCGAGGTCTTCCTGCAGGTCATAAAAGGAAAAATTCAGGTGGACGCCTCTTCGCTCTTGAATAGTGGATGCAGACTTCTGAGGACAAAAGCGTATTTCCTTGTTTATTCCACGGTGAAACTGCACCTTATGACACCGGTGAGTGTCACACTGGGTCTAAATATGAACCGAGGAAAGTGTTCCTGTCTCTCGAGAAACACCAAAACTGGTTCAGCGGTATTAGAACCAGATGGATTTCCTGGCGAAAATCCACCTGCCACCTGCCAGACCTGGAGTGTCCAGGTGAGTATTTTGAAAAGGAATCAATACAGCGCTTAGCATTATTCAGAGGCATGATTCATACCGGGTGATAGCCCCACACTTCACTGAGCGAAACGCCTGTGAGTATACGAACAGCAGAAATGTTTCAAGCGAGTCACACTCACCCCTCGAAACCAAGAAAGCGCTGAACACATCACAAATCGAAATCGTTAAAGGAGATCGGCCGAGGAGCGAACGTGCCGGGGCCCTCACTCGATTCCGGGGATCGCTGGATGCAAACGGGGGTGCTGGACCCCTGCCAAAGGAAACCAAAAGGGAGGCATAAGGCAGCGTTTCCTTTCAAAAATAAACTGGGTTTGGAACTTGGAATATCCATGGGCTTCCGAGGTCTTCCTGCAGGTCATAAAAGGAAAAATTCAGGTGAACGCCTCTTCGCTCTTGAATAGTGGATGCAGACTTCTGAGGACAAAAGCGTATTTCCTTGTTTATTCCACGGTGAAACTGCACCTTATGACACCGGTGAGTGTCACACTGGGTCTAAATATGAACCGAGGAAAGTGTTCCTGTCTCTCGAGAAACACCAAAACTGGTTCAGCGGTTACCTGAGGCAAAACAACAATTTTAATAATTGAGGACCATGAATGGTTCCCATTGTTGCTGAAGACGGCTTGCATTCCAGAGAGATAAGATACTCCAATTAAAAAATATGTAGAAGGACGTACCGCTCGCCCTTGGCAATACCAGATCCAGGTATAGGCTGGTTACGAGATGACGTATTCGGTGACGTCAGAGCATGACGGAGTTTCCAAACAGTCCTCATCAAATTCTGCAATGATGTGTTAAGAAACATGGGCAATGGAAACCCAATGGGTGCAGTATTCCTTGACCTCTCAAAAGCATTTGACTCAGCCCTCCATAACAGGCCCTAGGTTAATTACCTAATTATAACATGTCTCCCTCAGTAGCGGCATTTTTCAAAAGCTATCTATGGGACTAGTTTCAATTCATAAAATTGGGAAACAGATCCTCAGCAATCCGCCCTACCTTCCTAATTGGTATCCCCTAAGGTTCTGTTCTTGGTCTCCTCTCATTTATCTCATACATTAATGACCTTCCTCAACCAATCACAAACTGCACAATTGGCCTTCATGCAGAGGATGTAGCCCTATATTTCTCATCTGCAAATCCTGATAAGATATCTCCTAATCTTCAGTGAAACCATGACAGACTGGCTAAACGGGCCCCCTGCAACACACATATCATTAATCCTTAATCCTGAGCAAAAACAGAAGCTCACTGTATGTATAAAATCTCTACCCGAACTGCTCCCAGTTACCTCTCCCCATATCTCTCCCAACCAGGAAATACCACACACTATCTCCACTCTCTCACATCCATGAAATCATGCCTGCCACAAGCCCTAACAAAACATCCCAGAGAAACCTTAAGTATAAGGGCATCAGGCATTGGAATTCCCATATTCCTAATGAATTAAGGTGCTCCCCCCACTCTAACTAGATTTAGAACTGACCTCAAGGAATGTTTACTAGCACAATACCTACCATAACTACGTCACCAACACCAAAATCCCATCACTTTGATTATGCTCTACTCATGTTTTTTTCGATCCCCTCTGATGGACAAACCCCAAAGATTTTTTCTCTTTCCCCACTCATTCATGCACAACATTTCTTCTGCATAAGGTTATGTGGCCCTTCTCACTTCTCTGTCTTCTTTTCTTCCCGTTTCCTTTGCAGTTGTATATCTTGTCTTACCATATCTGAAATGCATTAAATTGTTAAATTGTCTATGTATAAGATACTCCTATGTTGTTCATCCTTCCTAATATGTTTGATGCCTCTCCTGCCCACAAAGTAATTGAGCAATCAGTTAAGCTCCTGTATATCCTGCTAACGTGGACAATAAATCATTCATCCATCAGGTAAGGGAAGTCTAAAGTTGGGTCTACGTCTGACGTTACGCTTTTCAAAATTGAACTCTGTGTATGGATAGCTTAGGCCTATTATGAATAGGCCAAGGATTAAGGATTCAGTAAATTTCCATGCTCTTTGAACAAAGGTTGCGAGATTTTCCCTCACCTCGACTGAATAGGCAACACGCTTCTTATTGGCCGATGCCGTGCGTAGTTCCCAGCGTTCCTACATAATGGAATTTTTGAACGTCTTTCGATTTATATGCGAGCTCACATCTCCTAAGAATTCAAATATCATCAGCGAAAAAGTCCGCAATTGCTAAACAAGGCACATGGCTCCTGGTACCAGAAAGAAAGTTAAGGTTAAAGTTATGGAGAACACAGTCCTGCTGATGAGTGTTTGGAAACAGCTCGTTGCGGTCCCCGTGACACGTAGGCAGCCTATTCCTGCGATGTCGTTATCTAATAGGCTGTTACTAACGGACCGTGAGACTGAGTAGGACCACACTCTTGCCCCAAATGATGATGATGCCACCTGATTTGGCACGTTACAAGTGCAGAATTCATGAGAATACTAAAGGTTCTCTTTCAAAATCAAAACTTATTTCAGAAGTTCCAGAACCTTTTCCGACTGTAAAAAAAAAATAGGATTATAAAAATGGTTCTGACTTCGAACCAAAATAAAATACATTGTTGCTTAGTTGTTGGAATCCGAGAGTAGAATAAATCGTTTCCTGCAAAAAAACGACGCACTTTTAAAAATACATTCTAAAAATACGTTTTAAAAAGATTCTAGTAGTATTGAAACAAGATAATTGAGGAAGACGTAATACAAAATCATATCGGAAAATTATGTGAACCTCACTAACGCTCATGAAGGTAAAGCCCTCAGTTGCCAAATTACTCATTGCGATTTCAACAGATTCGCCTACGGATTTCAAGTTTTGTGATTGCCAGGTGTTTGGGATTCTGGGAGATTCCATTTTCTTGGGAACAATTTTACTGCTTATTAGGGTCTCTTAGGATTTCTGTGGAAAGAATAAGATATGCACTGCAAAAATATGAACAGAAACATCGATGGAAAAAAGGGAGTCCACGAAACAGGTCTTTAACCTGCTAGCGACGTCTAGGTATTTTCTGGTGTTCGTGCTGTTCTGAACTCGCGTGAACATACGTTTGGTGTTCATGCAAATCTTCCAACCGCATCGACAGTGATTAGCTTGTTCGACAAATGGGATTCGATGAGAGCTGAAATCGCCGACGGAACTTGTTCGCCACAGCAATATGTACGCATGATGGTTGACTAAAAATAAGTA